TGCAGACGAAACTTCCAATAAACAATAAAAAGAGACTCTAAGATGAAGAAACATCCCAAAATAAAACACAGTTCTTTACAGACGTTTACTGAGTGGCAGTAAAAGGGGGAAATACCAGACAAGTAACAAGCATTGCATTGTGTGTTTATCCTTTCAGTGTGACTGTAGGAAACAAGGGCAATATTGCCTGGATTCAGGAAATTTCAGAGACGTTCAACTTCAGAACTTCCACTTTCCTCAAAATGTTTATTTTTATTGGAAAATATGGTCCCCTTGATAAGCTCAAATATCACTGCATGGATAGTGTTGCACCATGGAACTGCAATTCTATGCATGTCAGAAACATAGTTATTTATCTAGGCTTTGCTCAGGGCAGCATCCAATAATGTCTGTCCACTTTAACAATGGAAAGTCAGTTGCACAATAGGACTTTTAGTTTCTCTGATCCGCCCCCCCTCCTGGCCACCGCCACACTTCTAGTCTCCTGCACATCTTCCAAAATCTGCTTGGGAGGGTTGGGAGACCTTCTGGAGCATGTTGGGGGGGGGTGAAGGAGTGGATGGGCCCTGTTCAGGGCCAAAACTAGGTTTTCTGTCGTCCTGGGCAAAGACCCCCACACACCCCACACATGTGTGTTTGCGTACAAACACACTCTCTCTCACACACACACACGCCTCAACACATTTGTTCTTTAAGGGCATAAAAAGGAGTTTGAAAAAGGCTGGAAAAGAGTTAGTCTCTCCAAGTAGTAAAATTCTCTCTGTGTATATCTGGCTTTCATTCAATATTAAGTATATCTCCTCAGAGAGTAATAGGTCATTTGAGAAATTCTATGAAGTATTATGACTGTATTATTATTAATAATAATAATAATAATAATAATGGAAACTGTGTTAATGATCAGGCACATTCCAGAGAGTAAGCCCTATTGAACTCAGTGGGACTTACTTCTGAGTAAAAATGCTTTCAAAAATATGATATAATATTGTCCTACATAAGTCAAGGCCAGCCCAAACATTGTGGCGCCTGAGATGAACAACAAAATGGCATCTTTCCACACACACCCCGGGCCACCACCAGGGAAGAAGTGGTGAATGAAGATGTACATCAGGAACAAGGGGGTGGGTAAAGATCTACCTTGGGATCTGCTGCCCTCATGGATGGGCATCCCTGCTGCAAGCCTGGCTCCCTGCCAGCCTGCCTCCTTTTCTTGAGCCACTTTACTGGCATGGCTGAGACAAATACCTTGTGGTCCCCCTCAGCCTTTTAATGGCAACGAACTATTTGTACAGCCTGCAACTTTTCACCTGGCAGAGTACCCACCAATTTTCCCTTCCTCAGAATTGTAGGGCAGAATATCACTGTTTTCCCTTGCTTTACAAATTAATTTTCTACCGCCAGTTATATGATGTGGATGGATCAGGGAATCACACCAGTCGTACATTTTCATTATTCACATATACAGTTCCATAATATGTTTCCCCTTGTGCCATATATGTTCCTTGCTCATATAAAACCTATTGGAGGGGTGTTAACAGCACCTGTGTTATAATTTTGAATGCTGCATCTATTACCAAATACAGTCACCTGTGTAAAACTAGTAAATTTGCACTGTGGCTACCTGAGGGCTAATCCCTAATGATGTGTACCATACACAAACCACCCTGGAAAAATGAAAACAAACAATTACTCTTTCTTCATAGGCAGCCTTTAACTCAGAATAATTTCTGTTCAGAAATTTGGGCCTATCAACAGTGGAAATGGTCACATCTCTGAACAGATCCTAATGCATATGTTCACGTCACATCTCCAGGGTGAAATTTAGTGATAATTCAACTAATCTACATAAGGGGATCTGTTTTTGCAAATTTATAATTTCCAAAGGGCACATCTGCTAACATTCTATTATAATTTTCTTAACTCCATTTCTTTCATTAAGGAGCTAATTTTGCTCCCAAGTGGATCATTAGCTTTTTACCCATTTTGATTAATTTAATTTGTACTATGAAGAGCTACCTACGGCTTCATGAACTGAATGAGAACTTTACCATGTGTTGTAACCTAGTCTTTCACCATGAGAAATCTTGTCAAATCTAATTGCATTTAAAGGAATTGAAATTCATTTCCTGTGACATTATTTCAAAAACTATAAGAAGCAAGCAAGGTCTGCACCACACTCATCACATTGCACTCTTCATGAGATCTAGGCAGGACATGTCTCTGGAGTGTGTCGGAGTAGCTCAGAAATCCCTGATAGAAAGGGATGCTTTGCTAACCTAATGAACACTCAAATGAAAATGAACATCTGAAGCTCTATTCCAGTCGCCACATGAACTTTCTGGCAAAAACTGGAAAATCTCTCCCACTGATTTCCACTGATGTCATAGATTCAGTCATAGTGAAGCTTTTGACATGTATATCATAAAGTAACATTATGACAGTTATGCACAAACTGTACATCTTTCAGTTCTTGAATAACATCCCAGAATGCAGTCATGGGAGGCTTTCCTTTCTTCTAGAATGAGGGTTACTGCAAAGTCCTAGACTTCAGATAAACATTATGATTTCCATTATTTAGGCATAGACACACATCAGTTAGCTTGACGGCCAGGATGCAGGCAGCTCTGATCCCATTATCTCCAAAAGAAAAGCTTCTGGTTGTTGTTTTTTACAAATGTTATCTTAAACATCTTTTTCAGTTCTTTATATATCATTTCCCACTAGGCTTTAACCTTATTGCAAGACCACCACATATAATATAGAAGAAGGTACCTTCTTTCTCTTTACATTTCCAACACATATTTCATTTTGATTTATTCATTTTTGCCAATCTACTAGGTGTTAGGTATCATCTATATAACATTTTCATACAATTTTCTCTTATAATAATAATAATATATAATAGAGCCAGTGTGGTGTAGTGGTTAAGAGTGGTAGTCTCTTAATCTGGGGAACCGGGTTCGCGTCTCCGCTCCTCCACATGCAGCTACTGGGTGACCTTGGGCCAGTCACACTTCTTTGAAGTCTCTCAGCCCTACTCACCTCACAGAGTGCTTGTTGTGGGGGAGGAAGGGAAAGGAGAATGTTAGCCGCTTTGAGACTCCTGAAGGGGAGTGAAAGGCGGGATATCAAGTCCAAACTCTTCTTCTTCTTCTTCTAATAATAATAATAATAATTTATTTGTACCCCACCCATCTGGCTGGGTTTCCCCAGCCACTCTGGGCGGCTTCTATAGAAACCAAAAAACACTAAAATATCATACATTAAAAACTTCCCTGAACAGGGCTGCCTTAAGATGTCTTCTGAATGTCAGGTAGTTGTTTATCGTTTTGACATCTGATGGGAGGGTGTTCCACAGGGTGGGCGCCGCTACCGAGAAGGCCCTCTGCCTGGTTCCCTGTAGCTTTGCTTCTCGCAATGAGGGAACCTCCAGAAGGCCCTCGGTGCTGGACCTCAGCGTCCGGGCAGAACGATGGGGGTGGAGACGCTCCTTCAGGTATACTGGGCCGAGGCCGTTTAGGGCTTTAAAGGTCAACACCAGCACTTTGAATTGTGCTCGGAAACGTACTGGGAGCCAGTGTAGGTCTTTCAAGACCGGTGTTATGTGGTCTCGGCAGCCGCCCCCAGTCACCAGTCTAGCTGCCACATTCTGGATTAGCTGTAGTTTCCGAGTCACCTTCAAAGGTAGCCCCACGTAGAGCACATTGCAGTAGTCCAAGCGGGAGATAACTAGAGCATGCACCACTCTGGCGAGACAGTCCACGGGCAGGTAGGGTCTCAGCCTGCGTACCAGGTGGAGTTGGTAGACAGCTGCCCTGGATACAGAATTGACCTGCGCCTCCATGGACAGCTGTGAGTCCAAAATTACTCCCAGGCTACGCACCTGGTCCTTCAGGGGCACAGTTACCCTATTCAGGACCAGGGAGTCCTCCACACCAGCCCGCCCTATACCTTATACCATAGCTTGCGGCAAATTTTGTATCCATATTCCACAATCGTTCCCATGCCTCCATTTCTATATTGTGACCAATATCTATTGCCCAATGTATCATTGAAGATTTCACTTGTTTGTCTTTTGTCTCCCAGAACGCAGTCAGCTCTGATCCCATTATCCCCAAAAGAAAAGCTTCTGGGTTTTCCCCCCAGTTCTTTATATATCATTTCCCACTAAGCTTTAACCTTATTGCAAGACCACCACATCTTTCTCTTTACATTTCCAACATTTATTTAATTTTGATTCATACATTTTTGCCAACCTACAAGGTGTTAGGTACCATCTTTATAACTTTTTCATATAATTTTCTCTTATTCCATAGCATGCTGTAAAATAATTTTATATCCATATTCCACAATATTTCTGTATTGTGACCAATATCTACGCATTGCCCAATGTGTATATATTTATATACCCAGATTCTGATCTTAACGACCTCCTGGGTGTTGCCTGCTAGGCCTGTCTGATGCTAAACCAGTTAACCTCCCTAGCCTATTTATCTTGGCTGACCATCTCTGTACACGGCTCCATGAAGATATTTCATCTGGCAGCCTTGAAAGTTTTCCTTTCATTGTAACTCCGCTTTTTCTCAGGGTGCACGCACACACCCACCCTGGTGAATTATTTCTATAATGAGATAAAGATCTCTAGCCAAGGAATGATTCTTATTATAAAGTCCCCATGTTCCTCTAGGAGATCTCCCCTGGGTATATATTAAAACCAGAATGATCCCACACAATAATTTAAATCTACAAAACTCAATTCATTTCATACGTCCCTCCAGGCATTTGTCTTACAAGTGACCTAATAATGATGCATTGTGACGGTCTCCAAAGAGTACATGGGAACACAGTGCAACTATTCCCCAACATTTTCAGGAAGCAGTTTTGATGTGTTCCAATTTGAGAGGAGAGCCTTTAAAATCTGAAAAGCTGAATTCTTTATTCTCATTTGGGAAGGAGCCTGGTAAAAATAAATTGGGTGTTCCAAGCAACTTACAGGTTACCAAGAGGTTTCAAATCTTTAATATATAATCTATATAGTTCAGTATAAACCTTAGGGATACTCATACATGAAAAACATATTAAAGGTCAAATTCCTCAATTCCTAGCTAGCGCACAGTTTGCCAGATGTTGCGTGTTTTAAGGATTGTCTCATATTTTAGAAGCTTTTTTCATAATGCAGAATTAGACATGCGGATAATGCTTATCGCAGCTCCAATGAATGACGGGAACGCGGTAGTTAGTTGGAGCATACACACACATCACCTGGAATGTTTAGTTGTAACAGAACTCTGGTGACCTTTTGGAGGAAACACTTTTTCAGTGGAGAACAGGTGGCACAGTGGCAAGAAAGTTGGGCCCAGGTATGGGAAACCTAGCTAGGATACTTGAGCTTTTTAAAGTTCCGTTAGAGCCTTGCACAGAAGAGGCCAGGTGTAGTTCAGTGAGGAGTGAATTCCATAACTGATTGGCTGCCACCCCACCAACTAAATTTCTTTATACCCACTTAAGTTTCCAAACCATCTTCAAAGGCAGCCGCACACAGAGAGCATCACAGTAGTCTAGCCTAGATGTAACAAGCGCATGGCTAGGTCTGACGGGTGGAGTAGCCGCCTAAGTTGATAGACAGCACTGCTAGCCTTCAATGCCACCTGCACTTCCATAGACTGTGCTCTCCTGGAGAACCACAAAGCTGTGAGCTTGGAATAGAAACAGTACAGCCTCATCCATGATCAAGTGCACACCTCTATCCACTTGGGCTGATTTCCCAGTCCATGGCTTTATCTGATTGGTTTCAGCTTGCTCACCCTTATCCACCCTAAAACCAGTTCAAAAGTCCCACAGCCTCCTGCCTTTTGCAGATGGAAAAGAGAGGTAGAACCAAATGTGATCCCCATATTAGTGTTATCATAGCCCAGTCTTCCAGATGATCTCCCTCTGCAGTTTTACAGATGTTAAAAAGAATTATTCCCCAATAAGCCAGTAACCATGGAGCATAACAGAACTTCCCCATCACCACCTTCTTGGATTGATCCTCCAGGAAGGACTGGAGCCACCATATGATTATTTTTGTTAAGTTCAGAGATTTATACCCCACCCTTCAACAAGTTCCCATTGCAGCTTACACATTTTTTCCCTAGCAACATCTATTATGAGTTGCATTTCTGAAACATGGTCTCTCCAAATGATCAATAGGGCATATTTGAAATTCTGCTTTGTCCCTTGTTGTTCACATTTACATTCTTGCAATTGCTTCCATATGATCTTTGGAAATGGAAAGAAGAAAATCATCTGCTGTTTACAGTGATGGATTGAATAAGCAGATATTTTCAGAGTTTCTAAAAAGACAGGATTTCTGGAGGGAATTGTTTAAGTACCAGGGGATTTTTACAAAATTCTAATACTGCTCCCAGTTGGTGAAGATGTAAACCTTCAATCAAATAGGCACAACATTTTAATGCTTTCCGTTCTGTCATGCTCACAACAGTAAATGTGTGGACTAAATAACTCTTCAGATGCATGAATGAGAGATCCAGAATATATATTTTTTTAAAAAAAATGGGAGTGGTGCGTGGCTATTTGAAAGCTACACTCTCTTCATTATGTAGAGGTGTCCCCAGTGGGGTGAATAGTTTAGCAGTACTCCTGAATCCTTTGCTGTTGCTTGAGGCTCAGGTGGCCTCGGTGGCGTGGACTGCCTTCCATCAGGTTCGGCTGGTGGCCCAGCTGTATCCCTATTTGGACAGGGTAGTCTAATTTCTGTTGCCTATGCTTTTCTAACTTCTAGGTCAGTTTACTGCAACTCTATGTGCAGTTGCCTTTGAAGATAGTTTGGAAGTTTCAGCTGCTGCAGAATTTAGTGGCCAGGGCAAGACAATTTGAGTATATTACACTGATCCTGGCCTGACTACACCGGCTGCCAGTTAGTTTCCAGGCCCGGTTCAAAGTGCTGGTTTGGACCTATAAAGCCTTAAACGGCTCAGGACCACAATGTCTCAAGGACTGCCTCTCCCCATATGAACCGACATGGACCCTACAATCATCACCCGAGACCCTTCTTCATATTCCTCCTCCACAAGAGGTCTGGAGGGTGGCAACACAAGAAAAGGCCTTTTCTGTAGTGGCTCCCTGTTTGTGGAATGCTCTCCCCAGGGAGGCTCTCCTGGTGCCTTCATTACATATCTTTAGGTGAAAACATTCCTCTATAACCAGGCCTCTGCCTGATTAATGTTCTGTTGCCTTTTAAATGTGTTTGTGGTAGGGGGGTTATTGGTTTGCTTTTGTTTTATTGTGTATTTTGGGTTTTTTTAATGTTCTGAACCACCCTGTGGTCTTCAGATGAAGGGCAGTATGCAAATGTAATAAATAAAATAAAAATAGTAATACTCAGATACCTTCTCTTTAAATGAAGATCCGTCTAAGAAATCATTTCTGTGCACTCTATAATTTTCAGTAGATACACATGTAAACGCAGACTATCAGCTCTACATTTGAGACAGAGGTTCCAGTGATGTTTCCTCTCATTTGACTGTTCGATCACTTGAAGACGCATTATTCTCTTAAAATATATATTGCAATAGCTGTGGCTATTGAAAGAGCTGGTTCAATCAATAATTTATGTGCCAGGTTAAGGGGCCAAGCCTAGTCCATAGCACATTTTTGCATATTAAGAACAAAGACTCAAAAGAGATTAAGATACATAAACAAGACAGGATGCCAATATTAGGCTTATAATCTTCCGTGACAATGGTATGGCTGATGCTAAAAGTTCATATTGTAGTGAATGAAACTATGTTCTCTGAAAACTTCCCCAGCTGGAGTGAGCAATTTAAAAACATTCAGAATACTCTGGTGAAACAGTGCATTAAATGTCCATACCACCCAATAGTCTTGCAGTAATGACTGTAGACGAACCCCCAGTGCGCTCAACAAAATCAGCCAGGACAGAACCTTGAAGAAGTTTCTCTTTGCAGGTGCTGCTCTATATTGGGCACTGGAAGCCATCCTTTCAACAGGTACTGACGAGGTAACAACTGTTTATTTGTTTTTCTCTGGCCTTTTGATAACCTGAAGATCCATCCTTCTTTAGGCATATCTAGGAAAGAAAGAATTGCTGAAATGAGCATTTATAAGAATTGTAGGGAAAATGCATATTTAACTATAGTCTTACAGTGTTAAGAATCTAGCAATAAAATCCCAGAATACCTTTTCATTCATTTCCCCCCATTGAAACTTGCATTTTTTTAAAAACAGTTTCATTTCATTTTCACTGAACAGTAGTCTTCAAGAGTGGAAGTGTGATCTGTTATGGTAGCGAATTCCAAAAGCGAATTATGTGTTGTATAAACACATACTTCCTCTTCTTTGTCCTGTCAGTCAGTTGTAATGAGTGATCTGAGTTGGATAAAGCGATTCGTCTTTGCCCTTCACACTATTCATAAACTGATAAACCTTATCAGATTCTCGCTTTTTGATTCTCATTCCTTTATTTTTCCAGTTGTCCCAAACACTTACCTCTTTTTTATTTGAAATATATTGCAACCCCTTCAACAGGGGTGTCTGAAATGTGACTGCAGATATACCATTATGAGATTCAAAGTCTTGCTTCAGTTATGAAACAGTATCAATATCTAGTTCCAACTTACGCCATAAACACGTGTACCTTTAAATTCATCGGAAGGTCAACAGACAGAAATAGCAATGGGTATATTAAACAGTAAAACATTTCCTTTTTGAGATTTAGGCAATATTAAACATTAATGAAAACTGATTTAGTGTGTGTGAGCCTCTATTCCCATGCAGGGAATATGTCACATTAATTTCTTCATTGAGATGGTCATCTGCAGCATAAGGTTCTGCTTAAAAAACAGCACACCAAAATACCCACAAAGCTTCAACAGCAAATCGAATTTATAATTTTTATATGTGGAGAAACAACAAGGCCTTGTTATTGATTTTAGCAATTTTCACAATAGAGAGCCAAAGAGATCAATCTTCTGCTTCTTCCTCTGTTTTCAATTTAGCAACTTCCTTCAAGATTTATCAAGTCAACCTCAGCACAAATTACTTCCAAAGTCTTGTGAGTATCCAAAACAAAGCAAAAACAACTTCAGCTGTTCCTCCAAATGTGTATGAAAGGCATCTTTTAGCCAAACTATATTATCTTCTCACCACAGTCACCAGAAAACATTTATGTCAGTGAACATAGGAAGCCACCTTATTCTGAGTCAAACCATTGGTCCATTTAACTCAGTATTGTCTAAAGTGACTGGCATTAGCCCTCCAGGGCTTCAAAATGGGGTCATGATAATGAAAAAGTATTGTATACAGTATAAATTACTGTTTTCTAATGAACCTTACAGCAAGTTTATTTTTGACTAGTAGAGAGCCCCTGCTTAGAGGTAACAAATCATCAATTTATAAATGAATAATAGGTTATAAGTGGAGTTCTGAAAAGCTGTAGTTCCAGGATAGTAAGATACTGTCTTCGTCATTTCTCTTTTGTGTAATATTATCTACCAATATAAACAGAATATAATGCAACAAGGGGTATGGAACCAGGGCATCAGGTGATACAGGGAACCAATCGTATCCTGGTTGACCCTACAGAGCTGCTGATTGGTCTAGTTCCTCTCTGTCAGAGTAAAGGTAGCAGCTCAGACAGCCTCTCCCTACTGGACTGACTGACTGACTGTTCGTCTAGCTCCAAGTCATCAGCCTTGTACCTTCTCTTTACTCTCTAGCTGCACATCTGTCCTGACTTGATGTTAGAGGATGAACCTGTGTTAGTTGCCACAGTGACACACTGGCCCCCATCCAGCAGGTGCCTGTGACACTATTACAGCCATAATCCACAAAGCATTCACAATGATAATATTTGTACTTGTATTTTCCCATCAAGTAAGAATAAAACTGTTATGAGTTGGGTGTGTGGGAGAGCATGGCCTGTGCATGTTGCAGGGCAGCCCTAAACTGCAGCACGCAAACCACAAAGCTCTTATGACACAGTCCCACTCACACTTCCCCTCGTGACAACGCTGATGACTGCATCTGAAATGGGGCCCAATGGGGATGTTGGAAACAATCTGAAAGTACTTACACAAGCAAAGAAGATGAGCAGCAAGTAGAAAAACCCAAGAGAGCACAACATCACAAGTTCTGTTCTGTATTTTTGAAATTTTGCATCTTCAGGACAGTCTGGAAGGCAAAATAGATAGTTAATTTATGGAACCTTGAGTGATTTGTGTGCAATAGAAGTTAAAAAAAACAGTCCATCATACTGTACCTGTTACTTTTAATGTAACTGTACTAGTTTGGTTAACTTTTTTGACTGGTGATCTTATGATGCATGCATATGTCCCACTGCTAAGACTTGTAGTATTTTTAATCTTCAGATAATGCCAGGTGCTATTAGAGACCTCTGAGGAGTCGTTAAGATCTCTTGAATATTCATGTTCTGTATTATATTGCAGATCTGTCCATTCTTCACCAATTTCATCAGTCTGCAAAACAACAACATATGAGTGGGTAGTATGCTGCCAACCAACCAGAATGTACATATACACCAGTCCTAAGCAAATACAGGGTAGCAGTATGTCACACTTTTATGGTTCTGCTTTATAGGGTCAGTTCTGTTGAAGAACATGAGCAACTGAAGGACAGAATCACTTTTTTAAAGGGAGAGGTCCATTTTATTTCCTGGAAGGAGCAGAGCAGTGACAAACTGGTGCTTCTTTTATTTCCACTGACAACTATGGGACTAATAGGAGAGCAAAAGAATTGCACCCCATCCCTTCCTCCACGTGCTCCTCCCATCAGAAAACAAGAGCTTGCAGGAAAGGGTCATGCAAGGAATCTCTAAGGGCAAGTGCCCATTTGGCATTGGGAAAGAGACTTGGAAGCCATGGAGTAGTGACTCCCTTGGGACTTACTAGGAGCATATGAGAGTTCCTGCTCTCCTCCTTCTAGGTGTTAGGGAATTTCTCCTACAGTTGCCTAGCAACCTAATACTCCTGTAGAATGGGAGCACGCAACTGGAAATAGCAGAAAGCTAAGAAACACTGGTGATCAAATTTCTGAGCATAGTGGTGCTGAGACAAACCTCATTTGCCCAGTGGGCAAGTTTACTTGTCCATGATGAAGATGCCTACTGCTTAGCTCCCATGAGATGACTGGGTGTATAGCAGTCTAAGAGAACTGCTCATATTAATTTTGTTGAGGAAAGAAGATGGGAAGTGATCATTTATTTCCACTTATCAGTATGAACTGTTCAAGTAGATGATACATCTAGACTAAAGGGGGCAGGAAACTCATCCCCAATACACCCTAATTTATTGAAGAAATGCATTATACATTTAAATGCTGAAATGTCTGTCTAAATGTTCTCATTCTGATTTCTTGCAAATGTTTTACAGTTTGTATAAGCTCTCTTACTGCCCTTTTGAATAACAATACATTTCAATCACAATGTTCTTCTTTGCTATACACACAACTTCTCGTGAATGCCAAAACTCAAAATTAGTTTGTTCATAATTCAAACCTGCAAGAGTCATACTTCCCAACTGTATAAAAAGCCCTGGCTTTGTTTCAGTGAAATCTAGTATCTTCATAATTCAAACCAAGATTGATTTCAAGTTAAATTTATGTTTTATTTGCCTGTGCAGCCAGCATGATTAAGCATTCAAATTCTGCCAGTTTCTGTGCATTCTCAGACGTTGGCTACTGTAACCCTTTCCTTTCCAAAGAATTGAAAAAGTCCCATTGCACATGGAATGTTTCTGCTTAAAGCATGTAGAAAGCAGGGAAGCCAAAATGGTGCCCTCCAGAAGGTTGATTGACTCCCATCAGCCCCCAGCCTGCATGGCTAATGGTAAGGTATGATGGGACTTGTAGTCCAGCAACCTCTGGTTTATAGGAACAGCAGCAGGAGTCTTCCGTTTCCAGGGTGTGCTCATTGTCGCATCCTGGCAACTTCTAGGAAGTCACAGGTAAGAGCTTAGTGTAGGGTACAGACCCCAGGTGGACAACTACCCCAGAAGGAGCACAGCGTGCCCCCCACCACAGGTACTACCCCTTCCGGGGCAGATGGGGCTCATCAATCTGGGAAGGTATCCCATCTAAGAGAAGGAAAGCTCTGGTCCTAAACTTCCACTGCCTTGCGGAATATCTTCGGGAGAAGAAATGGCAAACGAGTAAACATTACACAAATCAGGAGCAGAGTCCCTAAGATGGTTGGATAGTGCCTTTCACACCTCCTTCCTGCAATTTCTGCAGCCAAGCTGGTGCCAAACATATTGCTCTGCTTTCCTTTGGAGCACATCAGCGAGGCTGAGAGGGGGTCTTGTATTCTGGGCAGCCCAGGACCTCCATTCACACTGCCCAGGCTTGCGCCCTAGCGAAGTGACTTTGGTGCTGCAAACACAGCAGATTGACTTCACCCCTGGAGGCGCACTCCAGTGTCTCTTGAGACAGATTGATGCCAACAAACAGGAGTCCTGCTGTAACAAATAGGCATTGCGTCTGTTGATGCTTCTGCTCATTCTGATGCTTGTTCAGCTTGTATCTCAACTTCTCTCTGCCTTCATGGTGTTTGACTACACAGTCGTACCTTGGTTCTCAAATGCCTTGGTACTCATACGTTTTGGCTCCTGAACGCTGCAAACCCAAAAGTAAGTGTTCTGGTTTGTGAACGTTTTTCGGAAGCTGAATGTCTGACGCGGCTTCTGCTTGAGTGCAGGAACCTCCTGCAGCCAATCGGAATCTGCACCTTGGTTTTAGAACAATTTCGGGAGCCGAACGGACTCCTGGAACGGATTAGGTTTGAGAACCAAAGTACCACTGTAGTAAACAAAGCACATATGAAAACAGCCACCATGCAAGGATGCATAGTGACACATAATGTTGTGATGCATGAGCTTTTATATATATATATTTGGTAATGTGCACGCAAAAAAATACCAACATGATGGATATTTCAAAATCTCAAAATAAAGGATAGCTTTCATCTAAGTTTGTAACATGAGATTCATAACTTGGCTAATGACAATTTCTAATGGAATTAGTTTGCCCATCACTAATTCCTTCGTGAGCACGTGAGAAATAACATTTTGCCTGTGGAGACCTCTAGTGGCAAATTGCTGATTTGATAGAAAGATTCATCTTCACTTGGGTTTAGCAGGGAAATTCTTTAATTAATTGCTTGTAAATGAACCGCAACACTAAAATCCTAAAATTTCTTAGGAGAATTAAACCAAGCTGCTTCTGGATCGAGAGGTGGTGTTGTTGTTGTTTTTATTACTTTTTGAACAATGCAAACTGTAGTCAACCATGGGTTTTAAAAATAATAATTAAAAGCTAAACTTGGCATGAAATGCAGTGTCTCCATGCCAGGAGCAGCTGGCAGGGAGGGGCACTGCTGCAGACCTGGCTTCCTGGCAGCGATGTCACTGCCACAGACTAGAAAGGTGCAGGAAAGGTGTGGCAGTTCAGGTGGGATGCTTCCGGCACATCAGCGGCAGCACTAAATTGACCACCCCAACCTGACCTCACCATGCCCTGCCCTTACACTGTCCTGGCCCATGACACTGATGCCACTGCCTGGAGATTAGGGCCATGGCAACACACCTCCCTATCAGACACTCTCGTTTCATACTCAGTCACTGTACGTTACACAACATTACTAACTAAAGAGCCAACTACCCCTCCCTCAGTTGTAGGCATAGATCAGTCCAGAAATATTTCTAGTGGTCGGGGAAGAAATCCCAGATAACCCTTTGCCTATATAAAATAGGAATGGCACCCACAAATCAATAATGAAGAACATACAATTTTTTTACAAAACCTCCCCCAGTAAATTTTGTATGCTGCAAAAGTTAGAGGCAGGATCTCTGGGGGTTGTGTCCTAAATGGATCATTTAAGGGGGGAAAATAGGGGAAGCAGTTTCAAAATGCTGCTTTGAGTTATAGCCCAGCAAAGGCTGAAAACATAGCTCAACTTCCAAGTGGAATGAGCCTCTAGGCATCAGCTGAAACAACCGCACTGAGAATAAATGCATGGCAATAGTGACACAGAATAAAAATGCTGCTGACAAGAAATGGCATGCAGTGAATGAATTTCTACATACTAGTCTCCATTCTAACACAATGTAATGGATGAGTGCACACTTTACTTTGTTATAGTTGGGGAAATGGGCTGGAAAGTTAAAAAAAAAAAAAAAAAAGCCAAGCCATTTGATAGCAAATTCAATGAATATATACACTGAATTTCAAATAGCCTTATTGCATGACAACGAAACACTGCCTTTCTTCAAAGCCAACATAAAAATTGCCTAGACTTGTGCTTTTGCAATGTTTTTATTTACATAACAGGATTTCAGTGCAGAATTTCAGATCATTTGGCTGCAGAATGTGGGGTTTTAGGGGGTTTTTTATGCTAATAATGAACTGTAAGTATGAATGTACCCTGGATGAGTTGCATGAGAATGTGAAGTGAAACAAATAGTTATATACTGTCTTTTTCTAAGCCCTTCATAGATACAGTTGCATGCACAATTCTGATTTACTATACATGAGAGAGACATGGTAGAATTTACGTTCCTTTGCATCTCGTTATTATTTTTCAATTTAGTTTCAAGACAAGAATTGAAATCCTGATTTCAGTAGCTGGTGGGGGTGGGAAGATGACCTGAAGATGCTTATCACCCCCTGTTGGCTGTATAATCTGATCATTAATTCTTCACAAAAACAGCAATGCACACTGCACAGTCACATCCTTATCCTCATCATAATTTTTGGGGCAGCAGAAGTCAGAGGTTAATTGTTTGCATTTACTACACAGTTCAACATGACCCTGTACTAAAGATCTAACCTGAGAGCTGTTTGAACTTTACATTCCAAAATGTCATACCATTTGTTGGAATTACTGTTTAATTGGCCCCATGAGGGCTTTATATACTGTTTATTGATTAGGCCCTCAATAGATTTTTTTTTTAAGTGATTAATTCTACAATTGGGTTGCCTAGCTGTGCTCTGTCATCTTCACACTGCTCGTCCGAAATGTTGTCAGTGATAATAATAAATGTCAGTTATGCAAAAGAAAGGAAGAGGCATTGCAGAGCACTGAAACTTGAATGATTCTGAACTTCTACAACTGCTATTAATTGTTTAAGATTTAATTGGTGGCTACTGTATTACAGCACACTACAAAATGTAGAAATGACATGTGGGCTGGTTTTGCATGTTATGCTAAACTATAGTTAAGCGCCGTAGTTAAGTTGTATACAGATGAGCAGAAATAAGCCACAGTGAATCTAGGGCTCATGCCCTGCCCTGCCCTGCCCATTCCTTTCCTCTCTGGCACAGCCAGAAATTCGAAAGCTTCAGCTTCCATTTCACTTAAGCACAGTTCACCATTACATCCAGGCCCATAACTGTGGTGGAACTTAAAGGGAACTTAAAGGGAACCAGCTTTGGTAACTGTGGTTTGAAGGCGCTGTGGTAACTGTGGTCTGGAAGGCACTACTACCCAGAGTTAAGCAAAAGCGGAAGCAAAAATTTCCAGTCACATTCTTTTGGCCATACAGGAGAAGGGGTGGAGGGAGGGCATGAGCCCAAGGCTTCCCAAGAGTCATTCCTGCTTTTTCATGCTAAAATATGGTTTAACATGTTTGAACTTGGCCTTCTCTGCCCAGAATGTTAGAATCTCAAGAGCAATTTACATTAAATGTTTTCTTTTACAGCACTCTGTACTCATATGTTCTCAAACGAGAACACGAGGTAGACGGAGGGAGCTGTCTCAGTAACAGAATCCCATTGGGCGGTACCCTCATGGGTGCCACACCCACTGCACCCAGGAAGTGGTGGCGGCAGCAGCTTCCAGTAAGATCGCACCACCAGCCCCCGTCAACCAACCCTGGTAAGCCAGGATTCGGGGGAGGGGGTGGCAGGTGGCACCTTCCCATTTTACCTCAAGTGGTGAAACGAGATGGGCTGCCCCTGACAACATGTGAACTGGGAAATCATTGCTATAGTTAGCAACAAGACATTTTCCAACCTCCACAATAATTTTTGCTGTTATTCATGACCTTCTTCAGGCACTTGGAGCAAACACATTTGTGCTAAAATTGGGGAGGGTGTAGGAGCACACATGCAACCCCAGTACGTTTCCGAGCACAATTCAAAGTGTTGGTGCTGACCTTTAAAGCCCTAAATGGCCTTGGCCCAGTATGTGGTACCTCTGGATATGAACGGCATCTGTTCCAGAGCCCCGTTCGCATCCTGAAGTGAACGCAACCGGTGTCTGTGCATCTGCGCATGCGCGGGTCACGATTCATCGCTTCCGCGCATGTGCGTGACATCATTTTGACCGTCTTCGCAAGCGCGAGCGGCGAAACCCAGAAGTAATGCGTTCCGTTACTTCTGGGTCTCTGCAGAGCGCAACCTGAAAGCGCTCAACCTGAAGCAACTTCAACCCGAGGTATGACTGTAATAATAATAATAATAATAATATAATAATATCTTTATTGTCATTGCCCCCTTCGGGGACAACGTATACCTGAAGGAGTGTCTCCTCCCCCATTGTTCAGCACAGACACTACGATGTAGCTCCAAGGGCCTTCTGGCAGTTCCCTCACTGTGAGAAGCAAAGTTACAGGGAACCAGGCAGAGGTCTTTCTCGGTAGTGGCACCCGCCCAGTGGAACGCCCTCCCATCAGATGTCAAAGAAATAACGATCTGATGTTTAGAAGACATCTGAAGGCAGCCCTGTTTAGGGAAGTTTTTTAATGACTGATGTTTTAACATATTTTTTATCTTTTGTTGGAAGCTGCCCAGAGTGGCTGGGGGAACCCAGCCAGATGGGCAGGGTATAAATGTTGTTGTTGTTGTTGTTGTTGTTATTCCAAATGTCCCCATGCACACCAACATGACTTGAACCTACCCGCATTGAGGAGGAAGATCTGAAGTGAGATTCTGTGTGTGTTTGGGTTGACATGCCAAGAATTCTCATAACTGGTAACCCTGAAAAAGCATTCTAAGCACGCTCAGCCAAACATACTGAAAATATCCCTTCAGACCTTCCCTCTCAATGCAGTAGTTTGAAATCAAGCCAGCTTAAACAGAGATGTTGGTGCAGTGATTGCATGCCCACTCCTCACACTCTTCCTTGTTAGCTCACACGAATTCAAAGAAACAGCTGAATAATGTTCACGATAGACCTGATTCACATATCACAACATCCATACAAATGTCTCCACCAACGTTTTTTAACCACACGGATTAAATAAAATGCAGATACAGATGAGAAATCAAAGGGGAATGAAAGTAACAGGTACTTACCTTATACCAGGAGACTGCCCCTTTTGAGGCTTGTATATCCTGAAAATATTTACAAGGGAGCGACACATCTTCACCGCACGTTGCCACAACCTGTTCCGCAGCATCAGCGACCCCATGAACCGCATGCCAGACTACAGGAAAGGAAACACAAAGACAGGCTATTTCTGGGGAGGCCACTCGGATGATCAGCTGTAGCAGAATCTTGAAGGAAAAACAGACCCTGAAGTCATGGGGTGACGAAAATTAGAAAAAATAATATATATATTTACCTTGACTTAGGAAGACAAGCTGATAACAATATATGGATGCCATGGGCACACAGTAGCTGAGATCTATCTACTCTTTTCAGGAGATGGTAAGTGAAAAGAAGTGAAAGAGATTATGCCTAAAACTATGTGCAGTTAACTCAGGAAACAGATGGTTGGGGATTCCCCCCCCCCCCTACACTCCAGCTAAGGAAGTCTTGAAGGTCTCTGGCTGTAGGGGGAAGTCCCATGTGCTTTCCCCTTAGTTTCGGCCACTGGGGTAATTGGAACCACAGTGCTTGATCTGGTATTTCAAATTTCAGCGGCACCCTGTGCGAGGCCAAAATTCAGCCCCTCCCCCCCTCCCATTTTGTGCATGCACTACGTCATAGTCGTGGCACCCTGCAGTGCCCTCTTGGCTCAGCACCCGGTGCGGGGAAACCAGCCACGCTGCCCTAAATCTGGCTCGGCTTGAGGAGGGGAGATTTAAAGCTCCCCTCGCCACCTGCACTCCTGACAACCCCACTCCACATGCTGCAATTCACCACACAAATATCTAGTTTGACCTTGAGATGTTTCATCATCTGCGCTCTTATATTGTTAGAAAATTTACACAGATTTTTGTGCATGTGTCTTTATTATTCTGTCATTTCATGTCACGATTCAATCCTTTTTTTGTAAACACTCAAACTGCTTGTGCAGAAACGTCTTTGTAGCATGGACTGTCGCTACATGATGTCATTATAGCAAAACCCTATCCACCAATGCATTTGCATTTCAAAACCTTATTCGGATGCCTTTCTGTTTTTCCTCAAAACCAATTGCAAGTATAATCACTATATATTCTCTTTGAATGAATGGAGCACTTCTTGCATGAAATATCATCAGGGCAACAAACAATGCAAGAAAAGGGAAATGAAAGTCATTTGGCTGATGTGATGAGGTCATCTAACTCTGAAAAATTTCCACAAGTGGGTTTTCCCCTCTGGGTAATGTTTAGACTGTACTTTCCAGATAGAAGTACATACACGCATGATTGATTACTGATTCCCATAGCCCAAAATCACTTATTTCAAGAACAAGGCCAGCTTTGATCCCTAATTGAGTTAGTAATTACAAAGACTAGGACTAGACTAAGTTTGTTTTTCATTTAGAAATAGCTGCTGGGGTGGCATTCAGTTCAAGCTCTTTGCTCATGCTGTTTTCTTCCCAACATCCTCTAGCTTACTATTTGCTACAATCTCACCTTTAAGGGCAGATAGAAGTTTAAATAAGACGGGGAATGGATAGCTAGAGACTTATAAATATACTGAGTTAATAGCATGTATATGTGGTTGAATACTAGAGCTGCAATCTTATACCTACTTGGGAATAAGCCCAATCAACTCAAGAGAGCTTACTTTTAGGTGTGGAAAGAGTTGCTTTATAAATGTTCCTTAAATGTCAGTTTTCTCTTTCTTTCCTTCTTTCTTCTGCATTTATATAGATACTCTGTAACATAAGGTCTCTGGGCAACTTAATAAAAACCAAATACAGCGGTACCTCGGGTTAAGTACCTAATTCGTTCCAGAGGTCCGTTCTTAACCTGAAACTATTCATAACCTGAAGCACCACTTTAGCTAATGGGGCCTCCTGCTGCTGCCGTGCCGCCGGAGCACGATTTCTGTTCTCATCCTGAAGCAAAGTTCTTAACCTGAGGTACTATTTTTGGGTTAGCGGAGTCTGTAACCTGAAGCATATGTAACCTGAAGCGTATGTAACCCGAGGTACCACTGAACAATAATTAAAATACAATAGAAAACTACAGAAACTATTAAAAACTCAAAACACAGTTTAAATGCTTTTTTAAAAAAGCAAACCCTCAAAGGACCTGACCATATGACATACTTAAAAGATCTGGGACAGGGGTAGCCAGTACATGCCTTCTATGTATTTTGGACTATTTTGGTATGGGGGAGGCAGCGGCAGCGTGCAGGGGCAGCTGGTGTGTGGGGAGGCAGCGATGGTGGTGCATAAGGGCAGCCAATGGTGGGATAGTGCGGGGGGGTGAGGTGGCAGAGGGATGGTGCAGGGTGGCAGTGGCGGCAGAATGGTGGGGGCGGGGAGGTCATGTCCCGATTTGCCTTCCCAGGATGTTGGAGGGTATGGTAAAAATGTGCAGGATATTTCAGTGACTGAGTTTGGCCTATGTACCTACTGGTAAGTACAGTGACAGAGTTACCCACCCATTGGACAGAATAACTGAACAACAGCAGTGAATAACAACAGTTACAGTTTATAACCAATGACACTGTTAGCGAAATTCTGCTTAAATGAGTGGGTGATGTGAGAGTTTTAAAGGAGAAGCACTGACTGCTGACTACGTAGGTGGTTTTGGAAACAGAGACTGTGTGTGGGCGGATTAACATTTAATTTATAAAGAAGTGAGTACTATAAACACATTTTGTAATAAAAACAAAAAACCACCCAAGCATATGATCAGGACTGGAGTAAAGTAGTTAGAGACCTTAATCCAAACTACAATTGGGCAAGGAGGTTTGACTTGCTGGTGTAATCATTTGAATACAGCACAATGGCATCTTATGCAAGGGTTCTGCTCCTAAAGGTAAAGGTAAAGGTACCCCTGACCATTAGGTCCAGTCGTGGCCGACTCTGGGGTTGTGGCGCTCATCTCACTTTACTGGCCGAGGGAGCCGGCGTACAGCTTCCGGGTCATGTGGCCAGCATGACTAAGCTGCTTCTGGCGAACCAGAGCAGCACACGGAAACGCCGTTTACCTTCCCGCCAGAGCAGGACCTATTTATCTACTTGCACTTGACATGCTTTCAAACTGCTAGGTGGGAAGAAGCAGGGACTGAGCAACGGGAGCTCACCCCATCGCGGGTTCAACATATACACAAAAATAGCATAGAGGAGGGAAGAGAGAGTCCACCGTACTCTCTGAAGCCCATGTGCCAAGCAAATTTCACTCTGGGATGCTCACAAGAACCCAAGTGGACCCAGTGCATGAATAACTTTTAAGTTCTCCACCTTGATTGGATTTAACTTCCCCAATTTCAGCCAGCATACCTTAAACTGCATATGGTTAAAATCATGCAAGTTAAATGTGCATAAGATGCAATTGTACTGTACTTCGTGTCTGCCTTCATACCTTGTGTTGGTAGTATTGTTAGTTTTTAAAAAAACAGCTTTGTAATCTGTATTGGGCAAAAGTCAAAAGCATTTTCCCATTATAAAATGCCAATTAATAATATTAGTCTAAATTAATAGGAAAGATGACCCTCGGGGTCCCTTCCAACTCTATGATTCTATGTTAGCTGAGATATTTAAAAATAGGGGAGTTAGCGTCAAGATATATTTTTTTTAATACCCCAAAACAACTCTAGATGGCAACAGCACACTGTATACTTTTGCCATAATACAACTGAGCTGTCTTAAAAGCTGGAGCTAACAGAACTTTTCAGGACAACCCCATCTTCAAATCCAGGGGATCCTTAGCAACAATGCCAGAAGCTTCTGGTAAATATCAGTAGATTCTGATAGTTTGCAAAGGCAGTAAAAACAGAACCATGTTTAATATTTCTCTGCAGTTCCCCCACATTTAGCATATAAATGAGAAGTACTGCAGGATTAACATGTGTGATTATGCTAAGAACTCAAATAAACAGTAAATTTGGATCTGCAGTTCTTTGAGTTTGATTCAGTTCAATGGAGGAAGGACATATGTGTGTATGTATATGCCTTTGCCTGTGCGTGGAAAAGATCTCTGTGCATATTTGAGTGCATATAGGGCTGTGAATAAGGGTGGGAATTTTCACATGGTTTTACCTTATTTTAACACAGTTACAGTGCAATCCAATGTGTGTCTACTAAGAAGTCCCATTTAGATATACAGGGTTTATTCCCAAGTATATATAGGATTATAGCAGCAGGGTATCGTATTATAGCCTCAGTATGTTTCAGACTATAACTTCTATCAGCTCCAGCAGAGCTGTCTGAAGGGCACCAGGATATCAAAGGCTGGTCTAGACAGAGAAACTTAAATATGCTTTGTTTGTATAAGGATTGCTTTGTTGTAAGCCAACTTGTTCCTTAACAGGCTGACCTGATTTTAAATAAACTCTTTAGATCTTCAGGAATTCAAAGCCAGCTCTGGTTAACTGAAAGGGGAATGTATGAGAAAGAGAACTTGATATTGATGTAGACAAAACTGGTTGCTGCTTTTAAAGGTAAGGGTAAAAGGACCCCTGACCATTAGGTCCAGTCGTGGCGGACTCTGGGGTTGTGGCGCTCATCTCGCTTTATTGGCTGAGGGAGCCGGCGTACAGCTTCCGGGTCATGTGGTCGGCATGACTAAGCCGCTTCTGGCGAACCAGAGCAGCGCACAGAAACACCGTTTACCTTCCTGCCAGGTAGTAGACTATTTATCTACTTGCACTTTGACGTGCTTTCAAACTGCTAGGTTGGCAGGAGCAGAGACCGAGCAATGGGAGCTCACCCCTTCACAGGGATTTGAACCGCCGACCTTCGGATCGGCAAGTCCTAGGCTCTGTGGTTTAACCCACAGCGCCACCCGCGTCCCTTAGTTGCTGCTTTTAGGATGTGTATAACTCTTTACAAACCTATGAGTTGCAAAGACAAAATGAAAACTGATAAATTAGTGCCTGAGCAGCAATGGGACCTTGTGGTGGTAGTGAATAGCATCAACCCAGTGTTTCAGCCGTGGAAAAGAACAGTTCCATGCGAGGGATTATTAGAAAAGCATGGAATCATATTTGGCTTTAATGCTATGGTTTACCTCTGTTGTATACCAATTGCTGAGAATCACAAATGGGGAGAATGCTGTCACGCTCAGGTCCTGATGGGTCTTTGATCTGAGCCAGTAAGATTGTTCTTATGGTCAGGTGAAGAAAAGATCTAATGACAGCAGGTAGCGTTTTAAACATGAATACAACATAATGGGGTAAACATCAGGAGTTCACTTGTTTTAGCTACTTGTTGATGATCATTTGGCATTTATGTTACTTGTTTAAAAAATGTAAACCGTGTAATTGAAAATATATAAGCAGTATACATAGAACAATATAAAACAATTATCAATAAT